GTACAAATAGTTGCATCTCTGCGCCGTCATCAACGCGCATCCCTTTTCTCCCTCTATTTCGTTGGCTCCGTTTTTCTTACTTGTAGTGATGCTTAAAGGACTGCGCAGCTGAAGCTAGGACGTCCCTTGATTTCCTTTTTTAGTGTATTCTTGACGCCTCCAAATTTTATGTTAAAACACACTTCCGGTGTCTGCAACGCTGCCAAGCATGTGTATTGTGCAACCAGGTTTTTTTTTTTTATACTACTGACCTATTCAAATGCTCTGTTACAAAATTAACTTAAGTAAAACCATGAATTCTTTTCATTTATAGGTGAAAGTGATTTTGCCATAAAATAATTCATTTTTCTGCATATGGTACACGAGGCTGCCCAGTTTCAGCCGCATTCCAAGTTTTAAGGCCGTATTAATAATGGGACTACACTATGCAATTCGGAATTACAATATCTGGCTTAGTTTAGAAATAACGTATGTAACATTTGATTCTTTAAGTACGCAGGTGTTTTTAAGGATACGCTAGAAATTCTATTTCCTAATCATTGCAAAATGAAGTCCAAGTGCTCCTCAATCCGCTACTTATACTTAGAGAGGTCCCATATCACTGGGGAAAAAACACATTGGATCAAGAGTCCTGACTCTTGAAAACATTGAAAAGAAAAAATCCTCTTGATTCAATCGGATTTTTGCTCGAATCAAAACGAAATCCGCTTAAATTAAGAGGTTTGGTTCTTGATTTAAGGTAGATTCTGATTGAATCAAGAGTACTTTTTCTTGTCGATGTTTTTAAGAGTCTGGGCTCTAGGTCCAATGTGTTTTTTTTCCAGTGTAGGGTCTACGCGGTTATGAAGGAAGGCTCAAGGAAGCCTTAACGATAGCACCATTAAAAGGACAGCTTCTGCCTCTGCAAAAAAAGTCATCTGAATTTATCTTAAGGGCTGTGTGAAGCAACTTCAACATTTACAAAATTCGTCGGGTATTTTCTTCTGTCTGTGGTAACGTTTTAGTGGCAAATCATTATATTCCGTCATAAGGAGCCGTTCCCAGAGTAACATACTGAATTTCACTTGAGGTTGGCAAAATTTGTCTTTAGTTTGATACTTTTTTAAGAATATCCTTATGCCTTCCTTAATCAGAAAGAAACAGCATGGGACCTTTCGTAAGAAATGAGTTGTTTATATAGAAAGACCATGTATACGACCCTTATGGGCATTCTTATACCAAAGACGTCCTAAATTTCTCTCTGTGGATTTAGACGTCCAAAGAACAGAGCTCGACTGATTTCTGGTCAACGTCGCAACCGTGGCTCTGTCAAGGTTGGTCGGTCCATGCAAATTGCAGAGCAGATATGATCGTCCCTCTAATGTTCGGCACCGGGATTGGAAAAANTTGTAGACATTACCATTAAAGTTTTCCCGGTATCCGATGATCCTGCTCTCATAGTCGTTGCTTCGCAAACAAAAAGAATCGTCAACCGCATGTCATGCTGTCACAGACATGCGCTCTAAAGATCATCGCGAGAGTCAGGAAGACTAACTGCATCCTTTACAGTAAGAAATTCGTCAAAAAGATCATGTAGATATAAACAAATGAATGATCTCCCCAACAAAAAAGCAGCCAGAATTCATAAGTCAAAGATATAAAGAGATATCATAAAACTCGAGCGGTATGTGCTTTTGCCAGTTTTAGAGGAAATATTCATTTAATTTCATTTTCACCCGAAAATACGAACCATAGTCTTCGGAAAGAACTATACCTATTTTATACCGGTTCATCTCTTATAGCAGATCGTCGCGAGTTTACGTCTCACACCATCGCGCCTTCAATTCGGCAGACGCAACACGGACATCCATCAAGTACAAATAGTTGTATCTCTGCGCCGTCGTCAACGCGCATCCTTTTCCTTCGCGCCTTCAATTTGGCAGACGCAACACGGACATCCAGCAAGTACAAATAGTTGCATCTCTGCGCCGTCATCAACGCGCATCCCTTTTCTCCCTCTATTTCGTTGGCTCCGTTTTTCTTACTTGTAGTGATGCTTAAAGGACTGCGCAGCTGAAGCTAGGACGTCCCTTGATTTCCTTTTTTAGTGTATTCTTGACGCCTCCAAATTTTATGTTAAAACACACTTCCGGTGTCTGCAACGCTGCCAAGCATGTGTATTGTGCAACCAGGTTTTTTTTTTTTATACTACTGACCTATTCAAATGCTCTGTTACAAAATTTACTAAAGTAAAACCATGAATTCTTTTCATTTATAGGTGAAAGTGATTTTGCCATAAAATAATTCATTTTTCTGCATATGGTACACGAGGCTGCCCAGTTTCAGCCGCATTCCAAGTTTTAAGGCCGTATTAATAATGGGACTACACTATGCAATTCGGAATTACAATATCTGGCTTAGTTTAGAAATAACGTATGTAACATTTGTTTCTTTAAGTACGTAGGTGTTCTTAAGGATAAGCCAGAAATTGTATTTCCTAATTATTGCAGAATGAAGTCCAAGTGTTCCTCAATCCGCTACTTATACCTTGAGAGGTCCCGTAGGGTTTACGTTGTTATGAAGGAAGGTTCAAGGAACCCTTAACGATAGCACCATTAAAAGGACAGCTTCTGCCTCTGCAAAAAAGTCGTCTGAATTTATCTTAAGGACTGTGTGAACCAACTTGAACATTTACAACATTTGTCGTGTATTTTCTTCTGTCCGTGGTAACGTTTGTAGTGGCGAATCATTATATTCCGTTAATAGGAGCCATTCCCAGAGTTATATGCTGAATTTCACTTGAGGTTGGCTAAATTTGTCTTTACTTTGATAATATATGTATTTTAAGGATATCTTTGTGCCTTCCCTATCACAATGTAAACAGCATGAGGTCCCCCTTAGGAAATGAGTTGTTTAATGAACGGCCATATACGAACCTTATGGGCATTCTTATACCAAAGACGTCCTAAATTTCTCTCTGTGGATTTAGACGTCCAAAGGACGGAGCTCGACTAATATCTGGCCAACGTCGCAACCGTGGCTCTGTCAAGGTTGGTCGGTCCATGCAAATTGCAGAGCAGATATGATCGTCCCTCTAATGTTCGGCACCGGGATTGGAAAAAACCCTTGCAGCTCCGTATTCACCGTTGCCAGATTGATCAAAATTCCCTGTAAGCTTTTCTGACTTGGTCGTGTTGAAGAGGAGATATTTTCGGCAGCGGCGCCCATAATCCGGAGACATGAAGGGAAACAAAGTCGATGCAGATAAGCAAGGGCCGTGAGGCTCCCCCGGGGCCGGTTAAGAGGAGTATAGCTCCGTAGCATCGTACATGCCGCGGGCGGTCGCAGGACTTTCCAGGTCACAACCGCGCGGATCTTTTTAAGATCCTTGCAATCTGGAGGTTGATTGGACTGGAGCGCTGCTGACCATCGGAAGCTACGGTCCTCCGATTAATCGGGTTCAATGCAAGACACAAAAATTGCAGTTTCCGAGAGCCCTCCCGTCCAGTGGCGTGGCGTGCTTTGCGATATATCGATTGTTATGCCATTTAAACCTATGGAAAAGGATAGATAAACAGGGTGTTCGCAGCGGACACCTTAGTAATCGATTCTTTACCATAGCTTCAAATGGCGATATATCGATAATCGATCATTCACGCCACGCCACTGGTGGCGTGCTTTGCGATATATCGATTGTTATGCCATTTAAACCTATGGAAAAGGATCGATAAACAGGGTGTTCGCAGCGGACACCTTAATAATCGATTCTTTACCATAGGTTTAAATTACATATCAATCGATATATCGCAATTCACGCCACGCCACAGCTCCCGTCTTATCGAAGGTAGCAGTACTGCCGTGCTAAGGAAAAACGCCGCATGAGCCGTCAGGCGTTGTCAGATTCCCCTCAATTTAAACCGAATTAATTGAAAATGTTCTGAATGTTTTTCTTCAAACTTTTCTGACGATTTTGTTCGCAATTTGATCCAAAATACCTGAAAATTTCAAGGAAAAACATGAATAACTTTCAGTGGCGTGGCGTGAATTGCGATATATCGATTGTTATGCCATTTAAAACTATGGTAAAGACTCGATTATTAAGGTGTTCGTTGCAAACACTCTGTCTATCGATCCTTTTCCGTAGGTTTAAATGGCATAACAATCGATATATCGCAATTCACGCCACGCCACTGGTAACTTTCCTAAAAAATGCACGATTTATCTGGGGAAATTCGGCAAATATAGAATGTTCATACGGCGTTTTTACTCAGCACGGCGAATACTGCCTTAAATTTCCAAATCGAGAGTTGAGGGGCAGTACGCCTATTTGCAAACTGACTATTTTGCAGGACGAAGAAGCAACTTCGCCATTTTTTGTCATTTTGAAGTTAAGTCCGCAATTTTTATTATACATTACATCGTCATTACAGCGCTCCCATGCCGAATCGGAAAAACTAAAAACATCAGCTTGTGTATTTTATACTTTAGGATGTGGCAAAGTCGCCACTCATTTTCGCCAAAATCTCCATTGGGCGGTATTGTTCACAACCCTTGGTATTGATGTATGCGTTTTTTTAAATTCATTTTTCCCCTTTACCGCTCTCTTCAATAGGACGGTGAAGTTGGAAAATCTTGGACCTAAAACGGACCTCTTTAGAAGTTCTTTTCAAAGCTACTTGGCAACTTTGGCCACATTTACAAAGTTCAACCCCCCTCGGCTGGAATTTAGCAGGCTTTCAGAAAATAATTTTGCAAGTCTTGATGTGCCTGCTAATATATTATATCGTAGTAGTAAGTTTACCTAAGGACGAGGTATCAAATAAAATGTATAAATTGGTGTTTTCTTTACATAGGAGGTTGCATCTCGGTTAAATTTCAAAGCTGCCCTATTTCCTCTTTTTAAACTTCTCAAAATTTTGTCTCTGATTTCCAGAAACCCTAGGTGATTCTATAGATTGACTGAAACACATTAAATTGAATGATATGCATTGATTAATGATTTTCCTCTGTTTTGTTTTCAGTGACACCAAAATGAAGAGCTGCCCGTTTGATCATCTTGTATAGCTGAAGCTGAATGACGGTGAGTTGATGTTTAGTTTATCATATTCTACTTTACTTTTGCCCGTTGCTGTACTGATTTTTCCGTGATAAATTTTACATTCTTACGAGCACGGTACCATGACAATGAAAAGTGACATTATTCGGAATTTCCTCTTTTTCAAGTTTTCTAACTTGAATCCTAAAATTCTTGTTTGAGGTTACGTTCTATTGTTTTGAACCAACCGATACATCGCACCTATATCGAATAAGATCCATATCTCGCGCGGAAAAAGCTTATTTCCTCTAATTCGGTGTCCCAGCAACACAATACCACAAAAAAGCGCGGAATTTATTCCCAGAGAAGATGCTTCGCTTTCTCAAACAGCGGTAGGCGTCCCTCAAGCAACAATTCCCACAACGGATATTGCCATAAATTCCGGCGAGCGCTGAAAATTCAGCCCGCACCAAGGCTATAATTTATGGGGGTCATCGCTTTAATCCTTTTTTTGTGAAGATCACCTAGGCCTTATATCACTTGGGGCTAACATATTCCGATCGCTAAAGTTCTTTTGATACCAACGCGAGATGAAAAAATAACCTTGCTACAGGGACGACCAGCAGTGCTGCCAACCGCTCGCTTTTACGGTAATTTTCCCCAGGGACCGTGATCTCGGCGCTTCGACTTCAAATCCCGTTTTGCAAATGAAGCTTCCTTTATAATTGTTTATTTATCTGTGAACTCTGAAAATCATTGAAAATCCTCATGGAACCATTCTATTAAACGCTTTTGTTTTTATCCCTTTTTCGCGTGAAGTGATTATACTATCTGTAACTTACTTTGTAGTCCCGAACTAAGTATAACTGGTTCGCTGCACACGATGGCCATTTTAGACATTTTATATATATCCATCTTCAGATGTACAGTTTGCGAAAAATTCCGCCCGTCAGAAATATTGTATAAAATAAATAAATAAATACTAAAAACACAGCCAAAACCTGATCGATCGAATAATCAGAGCGGAAGCTTTCGCGAACCGTACAACTGTTGTAGATAGTATATTCAATTAAACGTTGTGTTTTAATCGTTTCGTGCAGTTGCGGCTAGTCTCATTATTTACACGCAAACAAGTCTCGGATGTGTGAAACTAGTTCTGCGCCAATTTTCGATGGAAAAACTATACTTGTGGTATAATGACCAATTTCTTACTCTGCGTATTGGTTCAATTATTTTTCTTCTATTGTTTTCGCTCCCCCTCCCCTTTCTTTCTTCAAAAGATCATTCGCCTTCATAGGCGGATCCAGACACTCCGGGGACCTTCCCCAGAAAATTTTGGAATTTTTGTAGTATCTCATATGCAGTTAGAGTCAATTTCGTCTTAAATAATTACCAAATGTAAGCGCATTTCGCTCTTCTCTCCTACGTTCCTTTTTTCTTCCTTCCCCCTCTTTTTTCTCCCTCTTTCGGGCGGACCGGGGGGAGGGGGGTTCCGCCTTTACTCGCTTTGTCTTCACTATAAATGCTGGCTAGTTGTTATCAGGATTTCTGTGCATTAGACGATATTTTTACGTTCTGCACAATTAATTAGAACAAGATCAAATTCTTGATGTTTTCCGTGCATGTAACCATTGCGTTCACCTAACTTACACGTTAACCTCTCAGGAGCGGCTGTGGCAGCGCGGGAAATGTGACAACGGCGCAGCGCAAATATGATAAATTGAGAGGGATCGTTTGAAGCGTGACCCGTCCATGTATGTCACGCCGTAACCTCGGCAAAATCCCCGCAATTTGTAAACTTTCCTTCCGATACAGATCTTCGGTACAGCTCGGAGCGTTTGCACCGATAAAATGATCCAATAACATGAATAGTTTCATCATCCCCAACATAACTTGACGCTCTCGAATGCGATTTTTTGCACAGATGTCCCGTGGCTTTTCGTCATGGTTAAAAGTGAGAACAACTCACATTCAGCTAGCTTTTTTACCAATAGATCACTAAACAAGTTGAGAATGGAAGTTTTTTGAGACGTGTCCATTATTGAAATTTAACACAGAATAAATGGAGCCTATCAAAAATGTCCAAACCGCACGCATAAGTTAGAAACTAACGTCCATCGTTCACGTTAAAATCAAACAATTTAAACTTTCCGCTTGCAAAAAACTTAAAGAAAAAAAAAGACACAGGTCATATCATTCTTTGAAAGCAATATTACTTTAGATTCATTCGGCAGATAATCAATATTTGATTTCGGTTTTTTTTTTTAAGAACTGTCAAAACGCGCTCTTCAAAATGTTTGATCCCTTAAGGATTAATTGCTATTGCCTTCTTGTTTAAGCCCATGACAGCGCCCCAGACTGTCTTCCAACTCATGAAATTTGGATGAAAAATCGTCTTGTTACTTACATAGTTTGCGGCTAATACTCCAACTCCAACTCCTGAGAGCCCGTTTTTGTCTATGTCACAAATCGAAGACCACATGGCTCTCTGTTAGTCAATGAGTTAATAGCATTCAATGTGCGGATGTACCTCCTATATCCTTGAAGAAGGTCCTCGAAATTCCCTAAGTTTAGCCGTTTGCTAGAAAATTCCTTGTAAGTCCTTTACTTTGGTTTTAAAAAGCTGCCGTGAAGCTCTTTCTATCTATTGTACACTTATTAAGTGTTTTAACATATCCAACCAATCTTATTGGTTATAGTGTATTTCAAAATTCGGTAGCTTATTTCAAATAGTTTTTAGGGTAATAGTTACTTCATAGGTTTAGCGGTACAAGTTATTCAATAGTTCAGTTGATAAAGTTTATTTCAAAAGCTAGATGAAGAAGATGTCAATGTTCATTCTGCAAAAGGGTTAATGCGTCTACCATACGCGAGTCACTATGCAGCATAAAATTTAAATTTTGCGATTATCATGGACCGCCACAATATCTATATACCTCACCTATCTGCCTAGGGAATTCAATGGTACGTTTCGATGGCTGAAGTGCGACACCACGTAATCACCATGGTTGTGTTTGAGAATCTCCCCTTCTACTGTACTTTTTCAAAAAGGAACCGGTCAACTTTATAGCTTGGAATTCATTTCTAATATTCTACCAACAGAGAAGAAAAATCTAGGAAGTTTTCAAGAAACCACGTTGACTGGTTTTCCAAGGAAAAAATCAAGTATTAGTCGAATTCGGAGATACTCGCACTTTAGCCATCGATATTCTGTTTCTAAAATGAACCAGACATGTAACAGTTCTTCATTGCAAAATGTAGTCCAATTCAATGGAAGTGTAAATACCCACTTTAATACAGGTCGGCTTACGGACGTCTGAGAGAACTGCTTTCCTACGAATCGCATCTACGGCAAGGTAGAGTATGCGCAAAAATGAGATCCTGCAAGCTGTGTAGCTGAAGCGGCGTTTTCCAGCGCCTCATAATTTTATTTCCTGTCTAATTTCCGCCTTTTATTTATTCGTCCTCCTCTCCTATTTTCCTTCACTGCACGACCTCCGGTTTTTTCTCGAGAGTTTACCAAGCAGGTGACGCTGGTATTTTCTTCAATACATGTGTATGCATATTCGCGTTTTTAATTACTTCTTCGTAACAGGAATCTCATCTTTTATAGAGTTGAGAATTTTCCTCTCCGCATGTGATTTCCGTCCTATCGACGAAACAAGTTACTTTCCGATAAAGGATCCCTTTTTCCGGGGAAATATGTCGCTCGTTGAAAAGAAGAGAGGCTCGCTGAATGTTCCTTATTTCATTATTATAAAGTAGACTGAGCTTTTAAAATTCTCCTATCAATCTTAGCTACTTTTTGAGGAAATGAGCTAGTTACATTTTTCGTCTCGAGAGAGTGTTTTTCACAATGTTGCCAAGCCAAAAAAAAAACCCGTGTGAAAGTTCGAATGTTGCAAAAGTTCTTCTTTAGAAACACTCATTTTTCAGGAAATCAATGAACATTTTCCCCTCAAATGTCAGGGTATTCTAGTTACATTTTCGAATGCAATGCCCTGAACAATAGAAAGAAAAATTCTTATTTATTTCCCTGAAAATTGCTATATCATCCAACACTGGAAAAAAACCACATTGGATCTAGAGTCCAGACTCTTTAAAACGTTGACAAGAAAAAGGACTCTTGATTCAATCAGATCTAAGGTTGAATCAAAAGGAAATCCGCTCAAATTAAGAGGCTCGGTTCTTGATTTAAGCTTAAATCTGATTGAATCAAGAGTATTTTTTCTTGTGGATGTTTTTAAGAGTCTGGACTCTAGATCCAATGTGTTTTTTTTTTTCAGTGAAGGAAATTTGGCAACGCCTAAAAAGTCACAGTCACACGGCGTTTTTCCTTAAGACGACAGAATGGGCCCTTGGCAAACTTTTGCTAGACTCGTTCATATCTGAAATTCACTCCTCACTCGTCAGTATGTGTATGCAGTTTGCGCAGATAGCTTCTCATGTCATAAAATATAGTATGGTAAATACGTAATTTGGTACAGATGCAAAGTTCCGGGCACTTTCAATCAATTATAATATTTGGTTTTCCTCGCCAAGGTATACGAAACAATATAAGAAAATCTTCAATTTGCGATGCAGTTTTCTCCTTTCGAGTAAATATGTTCAGTTGAATAAACAGAACGCTTGGTGGCTGCTCAGTCTTCATTCTCATTTCTCGATCGGTACCGTTTTATGAGTGTCTCATTTATTTTTACGGCCGAAGTTGCAAGCTAGTGCAATTGAGAAAGGGGGACTTTGCCCTTGAAGCGATCTGTACATAAACGGTTGTTCTTACTGAATAGTTCTTATCCAGTCGGGTTGTCGTAAAAATAGGCTAGTATCAATTGTGTTTGAAGAAAGTTTTTACGCTTTTAAACTACTTTGTTTCCGCGAAATTCGCGCTATGCGGCCGGCCCAACTTCTAGAAGCGGGGGCGCTTTGCGCCCCCAATAGCCCGCTTTGCAGGCCTTTTTGAGTTAATCTGAATAACCGGGCTCATATAAGGACCATTTCCTATCAGAAGCCTCCATAATCATTAAAATTCACACGATAGGTTTTCA